CGTCTGTTTTTACTCTTAGCTTCGTTAAGCATTATGTTAGTTAAGTGACTTGAGCTCATATGCCAAGTCTGAGGTGTAAAGCAGTCAGCTAGTTTTCAACGGCTCTTATGCCTTGTACTGCCATGTGTCACATTCACATTGGCCCTTGTAATAGAATGGTAATGATTGGCTGATGTAATGAGAGAATGAGAAAGAATACAAAAGGTGTACGATCTCTGCAACGGTTTTGTAGATTGCATCAGAGAACATTTCCAAATTCTGTTTTCTCCTAGCTACCTCTCTCACTCTCTAGATTTTGAGCTCCCTTGATAATCCAAAATCCATATCTTAACAGAGATTGGGAGAACATTCATCGAGGAACAACTAAAAGGTTGGTCACCTGCGTCCTGTTCCTCCCCTTTTACATTTGTGCATGTAAGATTTGTGCTAAACACTACTTCCGTTCTAATTTCTTCTCATTGTTGGATTATTTGTTTGGTCAGAATATGTTATATCACATCCTCTATAACTGCACCGACGGTGCCTATGTAAAGTTCCCTACATTCTTTTGAATATCTTCGTCTGTAAGATTGCATTGTCATGATCTTGTTCCCTCACAACTTTTCCTATGAAAACAGGACAAAAATAGGGATGTAATAATTGTGGCATTTCCTGAAGAGTGTCAACCAAATGAGAACCCAGTAGCAGGGAGAGCAGTTCTAAAGGAAATAACCGATTCATTTGATCAACCTCATTTATGGTATTCAACATCTAAAGTGGTACGTGCATTAGAGATTTTTATTGCAAGTGCAGATGAACTCTCAGAAAGTAATGCTTACAGGTTAGCCTTTTTTACTCTCAACTGGTACCACATACACAATTCTTTACAGTGTCGGTTGTACTTAAATTTTTCATTTTAATTAATTTTATTTGCCATTTTAACTGGTCTCGGGTATGACCTTATATGGACCTGACTAGACAAGCTTTAGCTAAGTATGCAAACCAGCTATTTCTAAAGGTCATAGAAGCTTATCAGTTTAATGATGCCATCGGAGTGGCTCGCCGCAGCCAGAAGTTTTTGGGTCTAGTTGAAGACATGGACACACTTTTAGCCTGCCATGATGGATTTCTCCTAGGACCTTGGTTAGAAAGCGCAAAGAAACTCGCCCAAGATGAAGAACAGGAAAAGCAGGTTTGAATCCTAGTTGAACTATCATCTAACAAAACTCATATCATCAAAAAAGACAAAACTTAAAGAATTGATTTGATATAAAATGCAGTTTGAATGGAATGCTAGAACTCAGATAACTATGTGGTTTGACAACACAAAGGAGGAAGCAAGTCTGCTTCGCAACTATGGTATGGCAAATGGTGATGCCTTATAAGAATTCATATCCTGCAATCTTTTATTGTAGAAACATTGAACCGTCTGTCTGCATGCAAATATTGCTGTAAAACTTCTGTTTTTCTTTTTTCTTGTAGGAAACAAGTATTGGAGTGGGCTTCTGCGAGATTATTATGGCCCTCGAGCAGCTATATATTTCAAGTATTTAACACAAAGCTTAGAGGAGGGCAGTGAGTTTCGGTTGAAGGATTGGAGGAGGGAGTGGATAAAGCTTACAAATGATTGGCAAAACAGCAGGAAGGCATTCCCTGTGAAAAGTAGTGGAAATGCTCTCAACACATCCAGATGGCTTCTTGATAAGTATTTAGGATCAAGTGCTGACAACATACAATCCCTGAATGAAGCTGCTACTGAGATTGTAATATAATATGTTTGATTGGAAGACTTTGTGAGTAATTTACTTGTACGTACAACTTATAAAAGTACCAGTGGTGTTGAATTTTACCATTGCTTGCATATAGGATTTGATTCAGTTAGCACAAACAGTAGCTCATTCCTTATACCTGGAATATGTTCTTCCTCTAAGCTTTAAGCTTTTGATTACATCTCCCACCGCTCTCGTCCTGTCCTCAACGATGAATGCAAGGTTATTGAACCGCCATTAGAGTTTGAATTTTCTGGCGGAAAATTCTCAGTAAAACTACAGGTTTGGGAAAATTATTCAGTGCTATATCTGAGCATGAAATGGGTATTTGAATTCACGGAATTTGAGCTTACCCTTTGTGAATGTAACCAAGAAGCAAAGGAACTCAGATAAACGAACAATTGGTTTGTTTCTGTTTTGGCAGCGGAGAAAATGTGTTGTATAACTTATCAAGGAAAGCGCGATTGCAGATTTTGATCTTTTCCGAGTAGCCCTTAAGATCTGAAGGGTCGTCGGGAATGGTTTCCGGTTTGGATATCCTAACGACGTCATCCCAAGTGAAGACATCATCGGAGGCTGAGACTGATACAGGACGACAAGCGAGAACTTTGTGAAAAGCTTGCTAGGTGGAACGAACTGGGAATGGCGTCGTAAGCGCCCTTGGGGAAAGTACGAAAAGCTTTGGCAGTAAAACGTAAGGCCAGAGAGTCATTTTATGCATGTAAGTTGTATCAAGTATCAACCAACTTAACTAATTTGAAAAATCGGCGCTAGGCGGCCGCCTAGGCGGTTTTTGTTTTTGTTTTTTCTTCCTAACTTAAAAGAAAACCTGAGTTTTTAAAGTCTTTATTCGCTGCGGCCAAACGGTTCGTTTTATATTCGTAACGGTTGATTTTTTAAAAAAAATTTGGGTTGTTGATTGTTGCTGATGTTGGATGATACGCACCGGACTGACTTGTCACGTGGTGGGCCATGGATTACGTGGCAGGATCTGGGTCGTCCAAGGTGGGTCCACTGATTTTAGAGTGGATGTGGCAAAATGAGGAGTAGTAAATAGTTTTTCTTCAAGAAAACGAAAGCCCTAGCCGCGAAGCAGACATCTTAGAAGGCAAACCAAACCAAGCATGGGCTGTTGCTGATTTTGGCGGGTGAGAGTTGAGAGAGAACGCGAGAAATCAATGGGTAGAGGGGAAGCAGAGGAGGAAGGGCTTATTTTCAGCGATATAAGCACCTCTCATGGTTGCTCTCACAAGAAGCTGAAGGCGAGAATTGAGTCATGCCCTTAAGTAAGCGATTGACATGGAAAGAATGTGACCCAGAAAATATCTGTATCTGCTTCGGCACGTAACCATCGATTCCAGATTCGACCATAGGATAAGATAATTGTTCTACTTGGAGCCTCTAACACAATGAAAATGAGGTCTGGACGGACTACCAAAAAGTTTTTCAAGCCTTTTTTTTTTAGTCCCTAAAGTTTTTCAAAGCTTGTATGTTATAATAAGACCCTTTGAAAGATTAAAATGGACCATGAAGCTTCGGGGTTAGATTCTACTTTTCTACAACTTGAACGTAATTGCTGCTGATATATTTTGTTTTTGTTTTCTTTACGTACGTGGTACATGAAGATTACACCAGGCAGGGCATGGCAGATTTGGATTTGCTGTTGTGTACCTCTTCGTCTTTGGTGAAGGCTCAAGACAAGGACATGTTTCAATGTTTGTATGTGTGGTCACATATATAGTCCACAACATTTGTCTAAATGTTTAACTTTTATCCCTAACTTAGTTGGGAAAAACTTCTTCTTGTTTATTTTTTTTTTAATTTTCAATTTTTAACTTCCAACGACAAATTTTTAAACTTTCTGTCACTGTGTCTAATTATTAAATGCAGTTGAACTCGTGTGTAAGATGACGTACGCGTTATATTGAACAACTGGCCTAATTCACAAATAAATTTGTCATAAAATATATATAATTGATTTTAAAACATTTTATCAAGGAAAAAATTGAAGTCTTTACTTAACAGGTTACGATTGGTTGAAGCTACGAAAGCCACAGTTACAAGTTATACTTATATATGAATAATCAGCTGGAGGAGGAGGAGCTGAGCTACCTTTATAAAAATTGTTTGAGTGAAAGGCTGTATATTTGACTAGGAAATATAATACCACCACCGGCCACGGTTCATTTTCATTCGTATTTAAAAAATGGACCATGAAGCTTCGAGGTCATGAGCATAACGGAGTAGTTAAAGGAGGCCGCCAAGAATTTGGACTTTTTGGGCCTTTTCTTATTCTTTTTTTTTTGGGACTTTGTGGGCCTCACGGTGGTGAGAGTTTTTGGTCAAAAGTTCTTGTTCTGGATGATTCCAGAAGGCATGTGGAAATCTACAGTTAGGTCAAGCAAATTTGCAATATTACCCTTGTGAGTTGCAAATTCATAAACCTAAAGAAAGGAGTTAGGGCTTGTGACCATCATATCATCACGTGGCATTATTAATTTACACGTTATAATATAAGTAAATTAATTATATTACGTGATAATGACAATAGTGTTATATTAAAAATTTGATAATACCCCATTACATTGTTTGATTTAGTTTTAATGATTATGTACTAGTAAATAGTAGAATAATATAATAATGATTCGTGTGGTCCCATGAGTATATAGCCATTCATCCAAAAGGAATCAAATTATATTGAAAACACATATTGTTAAACATCAAAAACAAATTATCTTCAATACAATTTTGTTCATGACAAAGAACTTGAAAGAAAATCATCTAAAATAAAAGATGAAATTACAACCGTTTTCATATCAATATATCACTTATTATAAAGAAAAAATCTCATCCATCAAAGATATAATAAGCAATGTAATATACAAATATCGTGTACTTATTATTACTCAGACTACTCATTACGAATATTCCATTATACATCAAGAGAAAGAAAACAGTCGAATACTTCTATAAGCCATATATGTGAGTTTTTATGTTTGGTTTGAGGTGTCTCTTGATTTTATTTATAGTCGAAGTGATAAGGGCATTTTTGTCTTTTCAAGTTGATGAGCTAATAAGGGTATTATTGTCACACAAAAAAGGAAAACGTGGAAATTGCTGACTTCTCACACAAATCAGGCCCGCGTGTTTCAAACCCTTTATATAAATTGATTTCCCATTTTGGGTCCTCTCCAGCACGCGTCCCAATTTAAGATTGGTCCAATCTCCCCTACAGTTCTATATTTCCTAAAGTTGGACCAACTCCTATAAAGAGCTTTCGCTTGCGTTTTTATGATAATAACCTCCTCATCTTAAACCCCTTCGTCTCCAGAGAATTCTAATCTATCCTCCCAAAACTCAACCTTGTTCTTTTCTCTTCTTCTCAGAATCTCGGATCTTCAATCGGCTACGCGATTAGGGCTTCACTAATTTCTTCACATTGAGACAATGAACGGAGACAAAGCTAACAATTACGAGGCCTCCTGGGCCGATCAGTGGGATTACAACAGCAACTCCTCCTACCCCGTCGTGGTCAAAGGCGGCGGAACCACCGCCAAGTACAAGCAAAAGGTCGGCGAAGGCCTCGTCAAAACAAAGGCGGTGGCTTCCACCGGCGCTAAAAAGGTCAAGGAAGGGGCCTCCGCTGGGTTTCAATGGATCAAACAAAAGTGCCAGAAGAAATAGCAGACTCTTCATTGAGGCAGAGACCTCTGCAGATACACAGTTTTAATCTTCGTTTTTAATTTTTTTTAGGTTTTTTTTTTTTTCTTTCTTCATTCTATTCGTTTGTTTGTACAAAATAAACATCATTGCATAATTTTACATGTAATTAATCATATAATATATATTTTGTTCTTCTTTTTGTTGTTGTGTTCTTGCAGTCAAGCAAGTCATCTCTGTTTTGACGATGGATGAATCTGTTTGACATTTTCTTTTCTTTTCGTTTCGTTTCTAGGGTTTGATTTGTTCCGTTCCGTGGATTAGTTGATAATTACCACCAAACACGGAAAATAAAAATAAAAATAAAAATAAAATCTATAAGCCTCTTTGTTTGAGAAAGACTCTCATACAACAAGTATATCACGTTTTGCTATTCACGGCCAATGATGCAATGATATGTAAGATAAGTTAATGATTTTTTATGTATCATTACGTTTTGTTATTCACGGTCAATAATGCAATGATATGTGAGATAAGTTAACGTGAAAAGCCAATAATACAAATTACAATGACATGTGAGATAAGTTAATGATTTTTCACGTGTCATTGTGTATTGGCCGTAAAGATATAAATGTATATATAGAAAATCAACAAATTTTGTTCGTTTTCTATTTTGGACGTAAAATAAAATGGATCCCTCTATATTTACCAAATTTGCCATTTTGGGCTTTTATTTTTCTTGCAAATTTGAAGTAACATTTGTCATTGTGGGCTGAGCTGCTGATTGACAAGCCCAATGTTGCTCTTTATGGTAAATCCGTAATTAAATAATTAATTAATTAGTAAACAACAGATTAAGAAAAGAAAGATCCTCCTCCCGCGAAAACTCAAGGCAGCTCTCTTTTAGTGAAACATTGTAAAAGCCTGAAATGTCGTCTTCTTGTTCGAGTTTTCAGATCTCTTCACGCGATCCGCACATTGAGAGATTGAGACGTTAAGAGAAGACTGAATGGCTAGGCTAGTACTAATAATAGGCACTGTCAACTCTGATCCAAGTGAGAGCCAATACAAACTACAACAACAAGAATAAGTAAAGGCAAGGCAACAACAATTTATAACTTTTGGAAGAGAGAGAGCTGGAAATGGCGATCCAAATACCGAACCGGCAGTTATTCATCGACGGCGAGTGGCGAGAACCAGCACTCAAGAAACGCATCCCCATCATCAACCCTGCCACTGAAGAAACCATTGGTCTCTATATAGATGTGCATTTTTATTGATTAATTGAAATATTGATTTGTGGGTTTGTTTTCCAAGTTGGTTTACTTCTTAACTAAATATCAACTTGGCTGAAATTCGGAATGTGAAGAAATGGGGTTGTGTGTGGAATGTGTGACGATGCAGGGGATATTCCTGCAGCAACTGCTGAAGATGTGGACATTGCAGTGGAGGCTGCTCGAAAAGCCCTGGCCAGGAACAAGGGTAGAGATTGGTCCTCCGCGTCTGGGGCGATTCGTGCCAAGTATTTGCGTGCTATTGCTTCTAAGGTATTAAAGAGCATGGATTTTGATTCATTCTTATGTCTTTGGTCCTGTTTTGGACTGTTTTATTTATTTTTTAAATTTCATGCAGATAAAAGAAAGAAAATCTGAGCTAGCCAAACTTGAAGCAATTGATAGTGGAAAACCACTGGATGAAACGACCTCTGACATAGTATGCTTGTGATTTTGTGACAATTTTGAATTGTTATTTCATCATGCACAAGGCCCTTATTTGTTGCCACATAATGGAATGGAATGCAGGATGAGGTTGCTGGGTGTTTCGAATACTATGCAGGCCTTGCTGAAGGTTTGGATGCAAAGCAAAAGGCTCCTATTTCTCTTCCTGCGGAGAATTTTAAATCTCATGTTCTTCAGGAACCGATTGGGGTTGTTGGGTTGATTACAGCATGGTATTTTCTGCTGCTTTTTTTTTTTTTTTTTAAAAATATTTAAAGAGGGTATTTTCTGCTTCTTTATGTTAAACAATTAAGCACTTTATTTTAGTAACATTTGCTAGCTTGGTGGTTGCAATAACTTGTAGCAAAGTAAGTTCTAATCATCTATTGGTAAACCTTTTGGATTTTGAATGGTCCTAAATGTTGGTAAGATGATCTTTGGATAATTTGGAGTTTTATCTTGTAGGTGGCCTTTCAGTGCAACTAAGAAGCATCTTAATGATTTATATGGTAACCAAGTGCTTATTTTTTATTTTCATGTTAAGGAACTACCCTTTATTGATGGCTGCATGGAAAGTAGCTCCTGCCTTGGCTGCTGGGTGTGCTGCTATACTGAAACCATCTGAGTTGGCATCTATGTATGTCATGTTCGGTTTACATGTACTAAACTTTGTTCAGTTCTTATGTTGATTTTGCACATTGTATGCCTATCATCATGTTATCAATCGATTCCAGAACTTGTTTGGAGCTAGCTGAGGTGTGTATAAAGGTCGGTCTTCCTCCCGGTGTCCTCAATATTCTGACTGGACTCGGCCAGGAAGCGGGCGCTCCTTTGGCATCTCATCCCCATGTTGATAAGGTTCAGCTTTTTCTTTACTGCTAATTCTGTTCTTGGAATTTCTTCAAATTTGAGTCTTGTTATATATGCTGAAAATTTGGTAATTGTAAGATATCTTTGAGTTGTTATATAGGCTGTAATCGCAAAATTGATTCATATCCGACAGGTTGCATTTACCGGAAGTACCATCACTGGGAGCAAGATTATGGCAGCTGCAGCTCAATTGGTCAAGGTATATGTTGAAAGCTATCTAATGCTGAAATTAGTCAATCATGTTTGTGAAATTCATTCTCTTCATTTGATCTTCATAAACTTTCTCCTACGTGGTTTCTGTGTAGCCTGTTTCGCTGGAGCTTGGAGGAAAAAGCCCAATTGTTGTTTTTGAGGATGTTGATATTGAGAAGGGTTAGTGCCTCCCGAAGCCTCATTTTAAGTCTCTCCACTCTCCACACATGTTTCTTGAATATAAATTACTTCCATTAGAAACTAGTTGTGTACATCCGAATGGAATCTGTGCATCTAAATCAAATCATGTTAGAGAAACAATAAGCATATAGATATAACTGCCGGTACTGTAACCATAACGTTCTGCTCTATGATTCAATGAAACAGCTGTGGAATGGACCTGCTTTGGTATATTTTTGACAAATGGTCAGATATGCAGCGCAACCTCCCGTCTTATAGTGCATGTAAGTATAGCAAGCTGCTACATCACTTTCTGTTATTCCCTTCTGAGATACATGGATGAATGATTGTGCATCTTTTAGAACTAAGCAGTTAATTTATTACATGTGAGTTCAAACTACTCTTGACTGTAGGGTTCATGCATGCTATTTTTTGTGTCAATTTCTTGCACCTTCTTTTAGGAAAGAATTGCTGCAGAGTTTATGGACAGGCTTTTGAAATGGTGCAAAAACATCAAGGTTTCAGATCCTATGGATGAAGATTGCAGGCTTGGTCCTGTTGTTAGTAGAGGGCAGGTAAATGAGCACGTTTATGATCCAAATTTTTTTAAGTTTCACATTTAGTAGCTTCTACTCATTTTCTGAGAAAGTTATGATCCAAATACTATCTAATCTTCACTGCATCTGCTGCAGTATGAGAAAATATTGAAGTTCATCTCAACAGCTGAAAGTGAAGGAGCAAAAGTTGCGTTTGGTGGGGGTCGTCCTGAGGTATAAATAAACCTGTGTCTTTACTATCAAGACCATTTTGTTTCTTGATTTGTCACAACATGAACATGTTTGCTGAGTCATTTTATGAATGGATGATGGCAGCATCTAAAGAAAGGGTTCTTCATTGAACCAACCATCATAACCGACGTAACAGCCTCGATGCAAATTTGGAGAGAAGAAGTTTTTGGACCTGTTCTTTGTGTCAAAACATTTGGTTCAGAAGAGGAAGCTCTTGAATTAGCAAATGACACCTAGTGAGTTGACTCTTAATATATATGGTTTGATCAAGAACCCTTTTTTTTTTCTTTCAATGACATGACATTTTGTTGATCTTTGACAGTTATGGCTTAGGCGCTGCTGTGATGTCAAAAGATTCAGAAAGGTGTGAGCGCTTTTCTAAGGTGAGAGTGAGACTCTCTTTTCTTTGCACCAAAAGTCTTCATGAAATAGAAGGCAGCATTTTTATTATCATGAGTTGTGTTTCTTCTGTTGCTGTACTCTGCAGGCCCTTCAGGCAGGAATTGTCTGGATCAATTGCTCACAACCATCCTTCATTCAGGCTCCATGGGGAGGCATTAAACGAAGTGGTTTCGGCCGCGAATTAGGAGAATGGTACATGCCTTCCTCAGCATTGCATTGTGTCAATTATAATCTTCTGTTTCATCACATGCTGCATTGTGTGTGCTATAAAAATCAATGAGCTGCTCTGCTGATGGTGATAATGATATATTTCTCTTTTGATCAACAGGGGACTTCATCTCTACTTGAGCGTGAAACAGGTGACTCAGTATGTATCTGATCAACCTTGGGGTTGGTTCAAGTCGCCTTCAAAGCCGTGAAAGTACCCTGAAATCGAATCGAATTGGGAAGAAAAAAAAAATCCACAATGTAGCGAACTGTTATACAGAAAATAAGAAGGGTTAAATATATGTACTGAACTGAACCTTAGAAAAATGACTATATAATAGTGTTGCTTTCACTATATTAAGTTGTTCTGTTCTGTGGTATTGATTATTTTTCTTTTCATGAAGCAAGTTTTACAATTTATGTAAAAATGTGAAAAGGCAAAGACTTTCCAACACATACAAACAAAACTATCCCAAGAGGCTCACGCAGGCTACCCGGTGTGCCGGTGGCAGTGGCTTTGAGCGTTAGGTATAGATTTAAGCATAATTTAATTTATTGACCAAAAAAGAAGAAGAGTTTTTTCTGAAAAACCAAAAAAGAAAGAAGATTTATGCATAATTTGGGCTCGTTTCCTTTCATAAACTAAATTCTCAAAAAAGCCCATCACGTCATATCACGTAGGTGCTCAGCTCAATCTGCTGAGTTGATCACTACCCGTTTGTTGGCCAAAA